TCTATTTCTCCTCCTACCCTTTATTACTCCCCTCCGCCCTGTCGTCACCAGGGCCACAGCTGATGAATCTTTATTTCTATTTCTCCTTTATTACTCTCTCCTTTGCTAGGTCTCCGTTCATCAGCGACTGTCCCATCATTCCTTTTTCTTGTCCTCAGATCAGCCCGACTCGAACCTCGTCAACGTCACGGGCGCTGGCTGGCGAGGGGGGCCGCATCATTGCAGTGCGTCGACCCCATGAGATGCTGGAGACTCAAGTTCAACGGCTTGCTGAGGTGAGTGGAATCTACGTGCTGAGCGTACCGGATTCCATGATGGTGCAGTGGCATGGCATCTACGTGCTGGGTTTGAATGTGAGTGAGTGGTCTACGCTGCCTGGTGCTGGTGTGATGGTGGAGGTGAGTTATTGTACGTACCGGATTCATACTGGTGAGTGCGTATTTACGTGATTTCTGGTGAGTGGTGATGGTGGTGCATGGGTTCATCTACGTGTTGGGTGGCAATGGACATCTACGGAGTTGGGTCAATGGTGAATCTACGTGTGCGGTCAATGGTGAGTGGCTTACGTGCTGGGTTCATCTACGTGACGAGTGGCAGTGTTGGGTCAATGGTGAGCGTGTTGGGTCAATGGGTGGAGTGGGTAGAATGGTGAGTGGCATTACGTGGGAGGTGAGTGGGAGGGACGGCGTTCATGGCATTTACGTACCGGATTCATGGTGAGTGGCTTCTAACGGAGTTTGAGGGGAGGGACGAAGAGCGTTGGCGATAATAATTTGTTGCTCTCGCTCCGGCAAATATGACACAGCCTCGCCGCAGAACAAGCTATTCTGATTTTGTTTCACTATAAATGGGTTCACTGCATGCATATATTAAAAGTAAACAAACACTCACCGTGGTCTCAAATATACTGCTAAAATACAGTAGTTTGTCAACCTGGCATTGTAATTTCAATTATTTTCACACTTTCATTATCATCTCCACCACCAACATCCCCCACCACCATTATCACAGTCACCACTACCACCAAAACCACCACCGTCACCATCGCAATCACCACCACCATCATCTCCACCATCACCAGCATCATATCCATCATCATCACTGTCACCACCACTATCTCCACCATCATCATCACCGCTATAACCATTATCATCACCACCATCACCACCTACAACGTCGCCACCACCGTCATCATCATCACAGTTCCATGACCATCATCACCGTCACCATTAGCATCACCATCCCATTTTCTCATGATTACTTAATATAAAACAAAACAAACTGCAATCAAAGAAAATAATCACTTTAATTCCATTCAAATTGCTGTTGATTTTTCCCAACAGATCTGAGTTACATAAGCTTTATCAGATTTCAAGATAAGAGACAGTGAGCTTATCAGATAACAGATCGTCAATCACCGAACAAAGTCCAAAACAGCATCTCTTTATCTGTTGATTAGTAACGCTAATCTTACATGATAGACCGTGTTTTGATAGGACCGTTAATGGAGCTCTGATAGTAAGCAACAGGTAAGTCAGCGCGAGAAAGGGAAAAGGAAAATCGATTTTAAACCTAATGACAACATTTATGATATCAAAAGTAATAGTAATAATGATAATTATATGATAATGATAATGATTATGATAAATATGATAATGATAATAATGATTATGATAATAATAATGATTATGAATAATAATAATGAATGATTATTTATTATAAAGAGAACAATGAAAATGAGAATAATGATTATAATAATAATAATATTGAGAATAATTACAATGATAATAATGATGAGAATAATAACAATAGCAATGATCAATGAAAGCAATTCATGATGATATAATAATATTAATTTGAATAATAGTAGTGATAATGATAATGACGATAATGGAAATAATAATGATGATGATAATGATGATGCTAACAAGGATAATGATAAAGATTATGATAATAATAATGATGATAATAATGATCATAATGCCAATATTTCCAATGATAATGATATTGAAAATTATAATTATGCAAATAATAGTATTACTAGTAGTAGTATTCATAGTAGTCGTAGTAGCAATAGTAGTGGTAGTTGTAGTAGAAATGATGATAATAGTAACTGATATTAACAGTAGTAGTAGTAGTAGTAGTAGTAGTAGTAGTAGTAGTAGTAGTAGTAGTAGTAGTAGTAGTAGTATATTATAATAGTAATAATAGTAATAATGAAAATAATACAATAACGATAAAGATAATTAATGATAACAACAAACAACAATAATAATATAAAAACAATGATGATATCAAATAGTAACAGCAACAAGAACAATAATGAGAATAGTGATAATAATAATGAGAATAGTAATGAATGATAATTGATAATAATGATGATGATAATAATATGATCATATTCATGGCAAATAATAATATGATAATGATAATTTTATAATAATAATAATACCAATAATGATAGTATAATACCAAACACGAAACAACAACAATAATACCA